GAGTGCCTCTGCCTCTTCGGAGTCCAGCTTGTACTTCTGGGAGTTCTCGGTCCACATACTGCTGAAGCCTACCTTGGAGGATTTTGAGCATAACCTTGCTAGCGTGCGAATTGAGTGCAATTGTACGGTAGTTGGAGCATTCTTTTGCACTGCCTTTCTTTGGGATTGGGATGTAGACTGATCTTTTCCAATCCTCTGGCCACTGTTGGGTTTTCCAAACTTGCTGGCATATTGAATGTAGCACCTTAACAGCATCATCTTTCAAGATTTTAAATAGTTCAACTGGAATGCCATCACCTCCACTGGCCTTGTTGTTAGCCAGGCTTTCTAAGGTCCACTTGACAGGTGACAAAGTCTGACATAGTACTGACTGTTTTAAACATTTTGTTAGGCAAACAAACATTCAATAAATGTGTTAAATCTGATTATGCTCTTTCTAAGATACTGGAAATTCTTAAAGCTTGCACCAGCGACTACTTTATAAATTTCAATGACATGAATTAGTTCATGATAATATAAATCAAGCTGAATTCTGGCTCCATCTCTAACCTGCCATCATGATACTCACCATAGCAATGGGTCGGCCAAAATCAAGCACCCAATTCTGTAGAGTGAAATAAAACCACAGGTCAAAATGAAATCGGGAATTCCTGCAGGCTTCATTCTCTTGGGCTGCTCCATGCCTATGAATAAGAAGGAAACAGCAAATAAAAGCAATTCATATTAAATCAGTGGTAAACATGTGCTGCTTATATACCATCCTATAGCACTCTCTTTGCAATTTACAATTTAATTATGCAGGCTACACACTGCCCCCCCATGAGCTGAGCATTCAATTTATCAATCTCAGAAGAATGGAAAGTTGAATGAACTTCGAGCCGGCTACCAGGGATTGAATCCGAGTCGTGAGCAGTTTTGGCTGAAGTACAGCAATTTTGCCACTGCACCACGAGGCTCCTAACTGCTGGTAAAGGTTAACACACACACACTTTCATCAGACAAAAGGCAGCCACATTTCTATACAGCACACAATGGTAACCAGTGGCACTTAAGGCAGCAGGACAATGTCAAACTGGAAGAATGCTTCAGCCCATAAAAAGTGGCTAGAAAGGGAAAGTTTTATGCCCTGATTTAGAAGAACAGTCTTCTGTTACTTGACTTAGACCCTAAAATTAGATTAAGTTCAAATTAATATTTGGGATGCCTTAGTGCAGGTGACAAAGTGAGCTCTTTGTCTCTAAAATGCCGAGGTGTTGAGCGCTGAAAATGAACCAATCACCATGTGGTTTCTTCCTTTATGGTTTTCCCCCTATTCCTCTCCAAGCTAGGTTCTGTGACCTTATCCAAAAGCAATAATACTGTTTTATTCCCAACAGTTATTACGCTTAGAGGCATCTTGTTAGTCTCTAATTATCCTTTTATCATTCATTTCACTGTAGAAACACGCCTACAGCAAAGCAGGTGAGAGGAGCACCCATTCTTGTCTATGGAAGGCAGGAAGGACCAGGGCTGGCCAGTGGTTAGATAGGAGACCATCCTGAAATCCGAGGGAGCTGGAGAGAGGCACAACCTGGAAAAAACAATCCTGCCTGAAACCTTGCCTTGGAGAGCTCCTGAGTTAGAGATGCTCTGACAATGGCTTGGCTCAATGTAAGACAGCTTCCTAGGATTGCTAACAAAGTAACCGAAGATTTGGCTATGAAGAATTCCAGAAGCTGATTTTAAAATAACAACCATCTGTTCTAAAATGGGACTCAACAGGGAATATACTGACTGACTCCTAACCTCTAGCAGAAATTTGATACTACGTATTTCCAAATGTAAACAGCTCTCTCCACTAAAGCCAGGAATACAGATTAAAATGTTGTTGTCAAGACTATAGAAAGATTCACAGAGATCTATACCCCCCATAAGCAGTTAAAAGCGAGACCGTGTGTTGCGCACAGTTCTGAAATTCTGCTACTTTTGTACCTGGGCTGCACAAATGCAGATTCTTTCATGAAATGCTTTCCAGCACGATTCCTCGTGACATTCTCTGAACATGGACTAAGAACAGAATATTTTGAAAACAAACAGGAGGGGAAGTATTGGATCCACAAAATGTAGACACTGTATTTTATTAATTTGTGCTACCGCTATGCATGGCACAATGCGTTTAGGTAGGAAGCCAGCCTTGTCTTTTAATTGGGGTGTTTTTCCTAAAGTAGGGGTTCAACCACAGATAATAAGATGCAAGCTCTAGAATCAAATGCAAAGGGGGCAAAAAAAAAAGATGTAGTGAATGAGTTCCTGCTCGGCTCAACGGATTCCACACGATAAACTTGCACCGCCAAGCAGTCCCCGAACCGCTAAAAAAGCAATACTGCTGCTGCTTCCAAGAGGTGAGAAAGGAGGCGAAGGGTTCAAACGCCCGGAGCCTGGAAAGAAGAGCGTCGGCCCCACGGGCTCCCTCGGGCGGCTCTTCTCCGGACCTGCCCCCCCCCCGCGGGCGCCGCCGCTCCTGCCCGGGCTTCTGCCGACAGAGGCCGGGGAAGCCCGAAGGGCGGGGGAGACAACCACACCTGCCTCGCCTCCGA